AAAGAGGTGAATGTGACCAAGAAGGAACATTCATTGAGCTTCTAAGTTGTTAGTATTTGAGACTCCTCCACCAAAAACACATTAAAAAATTAACTTTTCAAAAGAGGAAACAAAAAATGACAGGATCAAGTAACATCCCAATGTGTGAATAACAGTAGACAACAGTAAAGTGAGAGAAAAAAAATCCATAAAATAAAATAAATGCTTCAGAATTTAAGATTCCCAGGAGATAGGAATGCAGCTCAATGGTAGAGCACTTGCCTAGTGTATATGAGACTCTGGATTTGGTTACCAGCACTGAATGGAAATCAAATTCCAGATTAAAATCTAGTGAGCAAGGAAATGTGGATGAAAAAAGACCTCCCCCAAGTCATTACTGAAAAATTAAAGAATATTATGGATAAAGATAAAAGCTTTTAAAGAGAAAAACAAGTCACATACAAAGAAGTAGGCAGCAGAGCGGAATGAATTTGTCACTAGAAGCTATACATAATACAAAAGAGCATTGCCTTTAAAAAATGAGAAACAATGGCCGGGGATGTAGCTCAGTGACACTGCACCTGCCTGGCAAGAGCAAGGTCCTGAGTTCAAATCCCTGAACCAGAAAAAAAAAAAAAAAAGGAGGGGTGGGAGAGAGAGAGAGAGAGAAAAACAGTTCCCAGTGTAGAGTTTTGTGTCCATCTGAACTATAAATAAGCGGAGTGGTAAAACAAAGACTTTGTTTTTGTTTTTGTTTTTGTTATGCGAGTCTCAAATGTTTAACTCCCGTGTTCCTCTTCCTAAAATTAGAAGTTGAAAAAAAAAAGGCAAGATCCTGGGGAAAAAGTGTTCAACCCAAGGCCAATGAACATCCCCAGGATAAGAGTGAAAGGGTATCGACTGCCATGCCATTGTACAGAAATAGCCCACACTACGGCAAGAGACTAGGTGCCTAGAAGGGTAGCTTTTTAGAAGATATAACTAATAAACTGATTACTCATACTGAGAAAAATTGTACACCTCTAACAAAGAGATTACAGGTTTAAACTGTGTAACACATGATTTCTTATGTAAGAGAAATCCATAGAAGAGCAATCCAGGGCTTTTAGTAAATGCTCCAGAGTGTCAGATAATGAAGTTGCTTCTCTCAACATATGCCTTCTACCTTCATTGCCCAAGAACTCAAGTCATTCCAGCCACATTCCAGCAAGCAATGAGAAAGATAGAAGGCACAGAACAGCCCCTTCTTTCTCCATCCCTTTGGATCACTTACAGGTCATGAATGCACTGCCACTTCCCACTGTCCAAGACTGTCACACAGCTCCACTAAGCTAAGAGTTTTATTATTCATTCAAAAAAAAAAAAGGCAAGGGGGAAGAATGGATATGGAGAAATAGCTAGAAGTCTCTATTATTTTCCTCCAGCACTTTCTATTCTTGATATTCCACTGTATTTTTCTTCATGCTTTGTATTTGTCTGACAGCTATCCTTCATTATGTGAAAAAGACTGGCTTTAGGATCCAGTGAGAATATCAAAATCCCATTGCTCGAGTCCCTTATATAAAATGTCCCAGTGTTCACATAACATATACTCACCCTTCCTTACATGTTAAATCATCTCCAGATTTTTATTGCCTGATATAAATGTTACATACGTACTTGTCATACAGTACTTTATTGCTAATGGAATCATGCAAAGAAAAAAGCCTGTACATGTTTACTATAAACCATTCTCCTCATGTCTTGGTTACTTTTTTCTTGGTTTTGATGAAATACCTGACAGCCAAAGGTAAAGAGGGAAGTTTATTTAGCTCACAGTTTGTAGAAGTTTCATTCCATAATTGGTTGCCTCCAACTCAGGATGGCTTGGCAGGAGGGCACTGCAGAGAAGTTCGTGGCAAGCAGGAAACAGCAAAAGCAAGCAAGGGATCAAGGGACCTGACAAGACTATTTTTATTTATTATATTGTATACAGACTACCAGGATTAGGGCAGTGCCAAACCAATAGGTGGACTGATTTAATAATCACCCACCCTTAATCCTAGCATTGCACCATGAACCAATCACACAATCTAGATTCAGCCATGTCTGAAAAATCACCCCCAGACTGCATGAGGCTTTGGGAGAACACCTAAACACAAGCCATAACATTCTTCCCCTGACCCACCTCCCCAAAGACTCATGCATATCCCTTTATGCAAAAGGCATTTAGTCCATCTCTAAGAGTTGCCATGCCATCTCAGAACCACATTGACTGACCTGCCTGGCTCTCTTCTGAAATCTGGGTGGAAGCCTTCCTGACCCTACAAGTCCTGCATTCTACTTGTACCTAAAACCAGCACCAGATGGATGATGTCAAGGTCTACCGTCCCCTGGAGCAGTAGCCAGGCTTCCTTCTCTTTTGGTTGTAGGGATCAAATATCTGGATCTGAACCCAATCCTGAGGAACAAATCTCTAGGCATTGTCATTCATGTTGTTCTTGGGTTCTCTTCTCCAAGCAAAGTCTTTCATTCTTGAAGTTTTGAAGTTGCAAAGGGAGAAGTCCTGCTGCTTCTTGTGATGCCCCCAGCCATTTTTCTATTCTCCTGTTTCTTCTCAGCAATCAAGATTTCCCCTGCTCTATCTTTGCAGTCCACGGCTTTTAATTTAAAGTATTTTAAATTATTTGGCTGGGCCCTTTGCTCTTGATTTTCAACATAAATCTGGCTAAAAGCCCCCAACAGTAGCCATGCCATGGCCTCAACATTAGACTGCTTTGAGATTTCTTCTGCCAGGTTAACTAGTCCACTACCTTAATCTCAAGCAAAGTCTCTGGAGACAAGCAAAATGAAAACAAACTTCTGCCAAGGCATAACACACATCATCTGGAGTCCAACAGCCAAGGCAGTCCTTCTTCCCAGTAGAAATTTCCTGAGTCTGGTCTTTACCAGCTTTTCTGGTCTTCTGAGCACTGATCAGAATCTCCCATGCAGTACAGCCTAAGGTGTTCCAGCTCTGCTTTTTTACCTGGCATCTCCAAACCTTTCCTAATGCCTCCCCTTCCCACAAGCCAATTCTTAGGGTTTTGAGCAACATGGTCAGGTAATGCCCCTGATGACAGCAATGACCCCACTTCTGGTATCAAAGTTTGTCTTAATTTTCTCTCATTGCTGAGAAAAAATACCTGACACTCAAAAGTTAGAGGAGGAAAGGTTTATTTGGCTTACAGTTTATAAAGGTTTCAGTCTATAGTTGGCTGGCTCCAAGGTAGAGTGACACATGACACAGGAGCAACACAGAGGAGAACAATTAATGGCACCCACAAGGTAAACAACAAGAGGAAGGGACAAGCCTCTTTCTGTCCCTTATATTGTAACCAGGCTAACAGGATTAGGGTGGTGATGAACCAATTGGTGGACTGATCCAGCAATCACCCACCCTTAAGTACAGCACCCTTAATCCTAGCATTGCACCATGAATCAGTCACACAGTGTATTTTCAGTCACCTCCAAAAAAAGCTCACCTTTTGGCCATGTGAGGCTTTGGGGTACATCTAGACGCAAGTTATGACACTCCAATATTTTCCTTCCATTGTTGGTTGAATCTGCAGAGACTGGACTTTCAGATGCAGAGGGCTGGCTGGTAGTTATTCTCTCAGTTTATGTGTTTTGTGCCCACTGTAGTTTCCATGAGGAAAGGAGCTATGCTTTTGGTTCACATCCATATTCAAATTTCTGGAAAAGTACATGGAGCATAGAAGAAATGTAATAACCATGGATTGAATGATTAAATGAATTGTCAACTCAAAGGTGAAAAGAGTCTAAGAGAAAATATTTAGTCCTATAGATCCAGTTGACACAAGTGATACTTTAAATCTTGCTTCAATATCAATGGATGCGTCTCTTCTGAAAAATCTAAGGCACTTCCTTCAGAATTACTCACTTAAAAAGCCTTTATCTGAACAAATGATTTAAAATACTTTCACAAAGTACAACTAATACAGCCACATGTAATATTGGTAATGCCTGTAATAATTGCCTACTCCCAATGTTAGTTACTTCAATGTGTACAATAACTCAACTATTAGCAAGAACAACGTAAACATTAATATAGTACAGATTAACATAAATTAATGATCATCTAATGTAAACACTAAAAAATTCAAAAAGATAATGCATTTTCGAGCAGTACTATGAAGAGATCAAAATCCACATCCCACAAGTTAATAGATACTTTGAAAATTCACAAAACGTGACAAATATGCCCAGCCATTCTGGGAATAATCCGACAAGGATTGCATCAGGGGGTCTGCTCTAAGTATTATAGAGCTATCTGATTTCAATCGCGTGACTTCAGATGCAAATCATGATGCACCCCTCCTCCCCACACCCACCCTTCCTGCACACTTCCACACAGAACACCGGAATTCTACACACTGCTCAGGTGGGAAAAAATCGAGTTCAGCCCTCAGCTCACTCTAAAAAATCCTCTAGGTTTGGGGGCCACAACATCTGAGGAAACAAAGGAACCAAAGGGTCAGCGGCCACAGGAGATTCCAAGCTGACAGAGCCTCCCAGGGGCGGAGCCAACCCGCCAAG